CGGGGGAAAAAAAAAATACACGGAAAAGAAAATTACACGTTGACAACCGAGCCAAAAAGCAGCGGTTTTTTTTTTTCCCCCGGAGTGAAGGCTGCTCTGAGGTGGGGCAGCAATGTCACCCGCGTTTTAAATTGCTGCTGGGTTTCTCCACTAGAGGACTCAGGTGAGATGTTTCTACTACGGCTTCTGCAGTTAAACCACGGGGTAAAAAAAAAAAAAAAAAAAAAAAAAAAAAAAAAAAAGCCAAGCCAACGCTGACATGTGGCTGGTCCATGTAAAATGAATGGAAATGTACTAGTGCATGCGGCACATCCAGACGTGCTCCCAGAACTCCCAGAGAAACACAGGGATGATGTTTAGCTCCCGCTGCTCCACGGCAGATCTACGTGTGTGTTACAAGTGAAGGTTAAATCCAAGACTATGTCTCCACGCTGGGCTGGATCAGAGGGTTCCAGCCTAACACGAGCGCTACATTCCAACACCAGCACTGCACATTAAGCTGGAAAGTAGCAGATAAACAAAGGCTATAGAAGCTACTAGAGAAGGGCCAGTATCACCTCTGATTTCCCAAATAAACCCTCCATCTACGCGGAGCTGTCCCTATTTTATTATTATTATTATTATTATTTTTACACACATGCACACGAGCCCCCCCGCCCCCCCTCCACCACCACACATTGACTCAGCTCTTGTGGAACGGCGAGAGCATCTGAACCGAGCTCCCACCGCGGCTTTATCACCGCTCGGCCAAAAACCAGCGCCAACGGCCGGCGGCGACACCAAGGAGCCCCTGCCACGGGCGATACGGCGCCGTATCGGCCCCGCTCAACTGGTGCCGGCAACGGCAGGAGGAAAAATCCATCCCCGGCTGCTGCTTCCCCGGCGTGGAACCCGCCACCGGGAGCTGCAGGGATCAACCCACGGCCTCCCGAAGGAGAAGGGACCCGGGGCCGGGGGTGCTGCGGCCCCGCGAGGTGCCCGCGGCAGGTGATGGAGAAGCGCCGGGAGAGGGAGGGCGATGGATGTGGAGGGGCGCGGGAAGGGCCAAGTTCACCTGCACCGGGCGGGGGGGCGAGGAAGGAGAAACGCATCCGTGTCGCCGAGCCAGGGATCTCCTTACCTGCGGAGCAGAGGGGAAGGGGGGGGAAGGGGACTGCGGCTCTCGGGGAGCAACTCGGCAAACTCTGCAAGGGCGCGGGGAGGGAAGGGAGAATGAGGAAGGGGGGAAGAGGGCACGGAGGGACACATGGGGAGCCCGCGGAGCGCTGCGACAGCGCCGGGGGAGGGCGGGCACGGCCGGCCGGGCCACGCGGGGACAGCGCGGGGACGCCGGGGGACATCGGGGGGTCTGCCGGGTCCCACCTGCCTCCCTCCCTGCCTCCCGTCTCCTCTCCCTCACTCACCCTCTGCATGGCTTTCAGGATCAAAGCCAGTTCATAGCGGGGCATCTTAGAGCCGCTGGCGGCGGGAGGCGCGGGGGGCACGGGGCGGGGAGGAGGGGGCTGCGGCGCTGCCGGACAGCGGGAGGAGGAGGAGGGGGAGGAGGGAAGAGGAGGAGGAGGAGGAAGGCGCGTCCCCGGGCTCCTTCCCGCGCGGTCGGTCCCTGCACAGACACCCGGGCGGGCAGGCGCGGCTTAAAGGGCGCCGGCGCTGCGCAGGCTCGGCCCAACCCGCGCCAAGCGCCGCCTCCGCCCGACCGGCCCCGGGGGGGCCCGGGGGCTGCCCCGCGTCCCGGGGAGGGGGAGGCGGCGGCTGCGGGCACCGGACCCCCCGGGCTGGACCCCGCCGTCCTCCCCCCGCGGGGCCCGGGGCCAGCGCCCGCCCCCCGCGCCCGCCGCCGCCGCTGCAGGGAGTGGAAATTTCCACGGCGCCCGCCCGCCCCCCGCGCTCCCCCCTCACGCAGCCCCGAGCCCGCCGCGGCGCGGGGGGGGCGGCCGGGCCGGCCCGTGAGGGGCTGTGAGGGGCCGGGCCGGGCCGGGGGCGGCAACCCCGGACCCGCCGCGGAGTCACCGGGGCTGGCGGAGCGGGCCGGGGTCGGGGGGCCGTGACGGTCACCCCGCGCCATCCCCCGGGCACGGACACAGACACCTCCCGCCGCGCAGGGATGCGCCCAGCCCGCTCTGACCTGGGGTCTTCCAGAACCTTCCCCCGTCCCCGGGGCGCCTCAGCGCGCACCCGGTCGCGTCCGTTGGGCGGAGGTGCCTGAGCCCGTGGAATCACAGAGTATCCCGAGTTGGGAAGGACCCGCGGGGATCGTCAGGTCCGACTCCTGGTCCTTCACGGGACACCCCGAAGTCTTCCCCTGTCCGAAGGCTCCTGGAGCTCTGGCAGCCTCGGGGCCGTGCCCACTGCCCTGGGGAGCCTGGTCAGTGCCCACCACCGCCCGGCGCTCCGGTGGGTGCCGGACCCGAGGTTGGCCTTGGTGCCGGGTCCTCCCGGCCAGGGAGGTTCTGGACAAACCCTTCCCAGCTGGGCACACACCCTTGGCATTGTCCTCAGACCCCAAGGTCAGTGACAGATCCCCTCTGTCAGCAGCACATCCGACACCAGCGTCCAGCTGGGGCTGTGCTGGAAGGTGCAACCACCTGCACCCACCAAAGGAGGGGTTTGGGGGCTCTGAGGGTGCATCAGGCTCGTTTTGACACTTTTTCTCTCACCTGCAGCAGAGATTTGTCCCTCCAGAGGTATTCCCTGCCCTCACAGAGCTACCGTGTGCCCAGGAGAGACAAGTTTCTGCCCAAGGTGTTGAAGCCCTCATTGCCTGGAAGTCCTCAGAAAAGAGGGATGAGAGAGCAGAGCCACCACGCTGTGGCCAAGGGGAAGCAGAGAAGGCAGCAGAACTCAACATTAAAAAACTTTAATGAACTCTCTGTGAAATCCCAGCCCATCCAGGGAGGCCTCACACCTCACCTGGGAACCCCACCCGTGCCCTTCCCATACCCAGGGTCGCTTGTTTTCGCTCTGCCTGCCCGGGAGTGGTACCACAGTCCCCGAAACAAATCCCCAGGGCAGGTTTTGCAAGTGGAAAACTTCTCCCAGCCCTTTCCACGGTGACTGGCAGCACAGCCAGCCCTGGCACCGCTGTGGGCCTTCCTCCCCTCGAGCAGCTGTGAGTTTGCAGTAGTTCCCAACACATCCTGTGCCTTACAGGCACGACAAGGCCTGTGGGAGTCCTGGGAGCTGCTTTGGGTTCTGCTACAAGATAAATTACCTGTGCGGAAGCGTTTCCACGTATTCCCAAACTCCCACCCCCCACCCCCGTGTTCAGGCACTAATTGCCAGGCAGCTGACAGGGATAATTTACTGCCTCTTGGTGCTCACCACGGCACGAACCCTCCCTGGGTTATTTTGCTTCCTTTTTTTAATTCCAGTGTCTGGCCTGAGCTTCTTCCTCGTTCTGAACAGGGGCCTGGCGAGCTCCTGGTGAGGAAATGCAGGTGGGGGTTCCCAGTGGAGGTGGGAATGCCCAGGTATCCCAGCCATTCCCACCTTCCAGGTGCACCTCGCCACACCTGAGCCACGCTGTTCTCTGTGTCACATTTGGAGCTGTGTCCTGGGCCAGGGGCAGAAAGGAGTGGGGAGAGCTCCAACTTCCACTTCTACCAGTGTTCTACCTCCTTAAAACACTCTCCTACCACAAAAAAAAGAAACACATCCAATCCCTGTTCCTGAAGTCCTCTCTCACACAGAACTTTATGCAAATCCCTCAGTCTATTTATTGAAATCTCCAGTGCTGCTTTCAAACGCCAGTATTTGATTCTCAGTTGGATGTACTTTTATATTCCCTGTTCAGACTCACTTCTGACCCCATTCCACGTGCAAGCCCCGTAAATACACATCTGCACGGGGCCAACAAATCCCCACTTTTTGGGAATCCCACCCACAGCTTTACTTCAACACCACGTCTCAAAACCCCAAAAACATAAGGCTGAGCCTGAGTCTCCCTTATGGCTATGATGGGATTTGCTCACTCAGGTACAAACACTTGTTCCTGGTTTAGTAGGTTTATTTATACATTAATACATATATTAATGGACACAGCCCTTGAGGGCCCTCAGCAGGTATAAGCTCCCTGGAATCTCACAAGTTTCTTTTCCCTCAAAAAAAACACCCCCTAACCACAAGCATCCAAAGACTGTAGGAAACCCTCATTTAATATTTAAATGTCAAGGGTTAGAGAGGAAGGTCTGAACAACATGTAGTGGCCATGTCCTGAATGCTCGGTAAGGAAATGTAAACTCCCCTAATACAGATTTATTTCCTTTATTAAGTAACAAGTGTAAACTTTTGACTTGCAAGGCTCATGCCATGACTTTTTCACGCTGGAATTTGGGCAGAGTCCTCTCTGCATCTTAGTGTCTTTCCCATCCATCCCTGTGCCGGAGAGCAGCACAGAGAGTGTGAATGAATAATGTCACCCTTTCTAATAAAGCATGAGATTAAAATATGTCCTCATGCATCCAATTTGCATATGGCAATACAGAATCTATTCTTTGATAAAGCTGCTGGAAATGTTTTACGGTTGGAGCCGAGGGGGGTCGGGCTCTGCTGCCAGGGAACAAGGGACAGGAGGAGAGGGAATGGCCTCCAGCTGGGTCAGGGGAGGCTCAGGTGGGACAGGAGGGGAAATTTCCTGCTAGAAAGGGTGGTGAGGCCTTGTCAGGGGCTGCCCAGGGAGGTTTGGAGTGCCCATCCCTGGAGGTGTCCCAGGAAGGCCTGGCCGTGGCACTCAGTGCTCTGGGCTGGGGGACAAGGTGGGGATGGGGCACAGGGGGGATCCATGGGCTGGGAGGGCTTTTCCAGCCCCAGGGATCCTGGGATTCTATAAAAACATGTGATGCAATATCTCAGAGACTCCTGACAAAGAAGCTGGCCCCGCACAGCAGGGTAAAGGGGGAAAAGGAGGGAAGAAAAAGGCACTTTTAAACCCTCAAAATGCCCATTAACAGCCTCTCTAACCACAACTCCTTCGGGCTCCTTTTGCAGCAGGTCCTGTGTGTGCCACAGAAAAGCCAATTCTCTCGTCTTACTAAAAACTTTATTTTCTACCTACGACATGTTGCTCAACATCAAAATAAAATCAAAATTTATCACAGTTTTAGGACCAGGATGTTTCTTATCTTGAACTTCAGATCAGGAGGGATTTTTAGAGGCATCAGAAAACAGGGATTGCTTATGAAAAGGGAAATTACCCTGCCAGGTGAGGTTGGTTTCTGGCCTCTAGATAGGGGAATAGATACAGGTACAGGCCTGTTTCTCCCTGGTATTTGCCCACCTTCTCCATGAGATTTGTCCCTGAAAACCACACGTTTCAGGTAATAGAAGGTGAACTAGGGGGGAGAAATCCTGCATGGGAACAGTCCTGAAATGAAGGAAAAGTGGGAGCGTGGGCAAGGAGACCAGAGCAGGGACAAGAGAGGGGGAATGTGGAGGAGACTGTGATGTGGTGCTTTAAACTAGGGCAGGGATCTCATGAGAGGATGTAAAAGAGAGGGTGAGGGGAAAGGGAGAGGTAAGAATGGATGGACAAAGGCTGGGATAGAGGAAGGGTAGACTTGAAGATTAGGACAGGGGAAGATGGGTCGTGGGAAGGTGAATGGATTGTGCTAAAAAAGAACAGGAAAAATCATGTGTTTGTGTATCATTGGAGGCCACCAAGATGGTCCGAGGGCTGGAGCAGCTCTGCTGGGAGGAAAGGCTGGGAGAGCTGGGATTGTCCAACTGGAGAAGAGAAGCTTTGGGGTGACCTGATTGTGGCCTTGCAGGGCCTGAAGGGACCCACAAGAAAGATGGAGAGAGATTATTTCCAAGGGCTGGAGGGACAAAACAAGGGGGAATGGCTTCCCACTGGAAAAAAAAATGTAGGTTTGGGTTAGATCTGAGGGAGAAATTCCTGGCTGTGAGGGTGGGGAGGCCCTGGCCCAGGTTGCCCAGAGAAGCTGTGGCTGCCCCTGGATCCCTGGAAGTGTCCAAGGCCAGGTTGGAGCAACCTGGGCTGGTGGAAGGTGTCCCTGCCCATGGCAGGGGGTGGCACTGGATGGGCTTTGAGGTCCCTCCCAACCCAAACCATTCCATTATTCCATGATCTGGTTTGTAGGCTCTCTTCAGGTACTGCCTTTAGGTCACCCCAAAGCTTCTCCTCTCCAGGCTGAACAATCCCAGCTCTCCCAGCCTTTCCTCCCAGCAGAGCTGCTGCAGCCCTGGGATCCTCCTCTGGACTCTGGTGCCTGCTCTGGACTCTCTCCAGCAGCTCCATGTCCATCTGCAACAATAGGATGCTGCGGAAGGAGTTTTGGATTCTTTTTACAGTTAACTTTTTCAAAAGCTGGAGAATTGCAATGTAAAATGTAAAATCTGCTTCAAATGAGGAGTAGGTTGCAAAATCAATGCTCCATAATGAGGAGTGTTATTTCTCCTTCCTCTCATTTGCATAGGCACATGCAAAGTAGATAATTGCCTACTTCTCTTTCCATGGGATCTCTGCCACATTTATTTTGCAGGGTGGAGCAGCTCTGGAGCTGTGTCAGGATGACATAGTGGAGGAGGCTTCTGTCTACAGAAGTTTTTTTCCACATTTGTTTCACGAGACAGAAGATGAGCAGTGGATTTTCCCGGGATCATGTGAGAAAGGATGAGCTCTTGGTTAAACCAGCTGGGATTTGCCCCAGGACTGGATTCAGTCCCTCCTTACCCACATAGTTCTTGTGTGATGCTGCACAAGGCAGTTAAACCACATTTCTTGCAGGTGGCCACGAATTTCATGCTCCTGTTTCTGAGGATCAGAATTGACATTTTGTGGTCTCATTTGCAGAAGTGTTGAATGACCCCAGATGGAACTGAATTCAGCTGGTGCTAAACAAGTGAAATGCTCTGAATGAGAACGTAAGAACTTCTCAGAATATTCACTGGAACTTTGAATTGTCTCAAACCAAGCAACTGGAATCTACACAGCCTTAAACCACAGGTAATTCCAAGCCAAGCCCATCCCAAAAACATCACACCCAAGAGGCAACAAAATGTGTTTATGGCTGGTGATTTTTTTCTGTGGAAAGGGGAGGAAGAGGCGTCTTTCTGCTGCTCATCCTGATCCTCCACAAAGTGTCTTGTCCACCAAAAACCTAAACCTGGGTCTGCCAGGTAGGACCAGGAGCCTCTGCAACTCTCTGACTCTCTGAGAGTGGAGCCAGGGCAGGTCGAGCTCTGCTGCCAGGGAACAAGGGACAGGAGGAGAGGGAACGGCCTCCAGCTGTGCCAGGGGAGGCTCAGGTGGGACAGGAGGAGGAATTTCCTGCTGGAAAGGGTGGTCAGCAGGGGCTGCCCAGGGAGGTTTGGAGTGCCCAGCCCTGGAGGTGTCCCAGGAAGGACTGGGCTGTGAAACCC